GCTCTATCAAACTAGCAAAGTGGTTTACAGACTCCAAGTTCTACCAAGAAGTGTGTATATCACATACACAAAGCTCTCCTACCTTATAAGGGAGCCCTCAAAAGTCTACTAGTTTCCTTTTACTCTTCTCTTTACTATTCTCTCATTTACTTTATTCCATTATCAGAGGCGGAGGCAGCGGCGAACAGGGGCTAGGATCACAGGCTGGAGGATCATGCTGCAAAGAGGTGGCAGCACTACTGTTTTACTTCCTCAAGCGGACAAAACAACAGCTAAAGCGTACATGTAAACCCCGCTACAGCCTTTAAACTCTTATATAATCTAGCTAGCTAGACAGGAAGCCAGGGGCCTCCCCCCCCTGGCGTCTTTTGCCCCAACGGGGACTGAAGGGCACGTGACTTGCGTACGTGCCCGCCTAGACGTTAAATAGACACACACACACACACACACACACACACACTCTATTGGCCTATCGGACTGGAAAAACATTTTCCGGGCTATTAGATGTTGTTCCATGGCATAATGGTATATTCCAGAGCTCCTTATAAATGGCTTGGAATATTCCTATGGGGGGCTGGTATGAAATGGAATTCCAGATGCCGAACGCTGTCGTTGGAAGTAATCGAAAACAAGCACACCTAAGACTAACCGGCTTTCGTCATTTTTCAGAGGCATCCTTCGTTGTAGAGAAATTTAATATTTCGTGGAGGTGTGGTGGGGTCGCCGGGTTTTGGCCGGTTCGCTTGTTTGGCCGGTTCGCTATACATGCACGTTAATTAAGAATTCCTTAATTATCTCTACTAGTAATTATTACCCGAGGGATAATACTTCTCTACGTTAATCGTTCGTAACTATCCCGGGAGCGTTCAAGGAGCGTTCCGATAGCGTTCTAGGACTATCCTAGGAGCGTTACCTGGCTGCCTGAGGGTGCGCCAAGACTCGGAATACCCTCATGTGCATGCACGCAAGTCTGTCGTAGCACGCCCTCGTAGTACCAACACCACGCACAGTACCTGGCTAGGCAGCACCCACAATGTGCGCAGGTGAAATTTGTCCGAATCGAGCGAATCTAAAACTTAAATTTATATAGCGTTAAGGTTAAGCCTGTACAAGTAGTACCGAGTACTTACATTCGTCTATGCAACCCCTGCTCCTCTCGGGTTCTTCCAGAATTGTCCTAGGATAGTTCTTATATAACTATAAAGGATAACCGTTCTCTAAATTCAAATAATTATAAGTAGTAATAATCGTAGAATAGTCATATAGAATGATAATTAGCTACTAACGTGGTTTATCAGCGAGTCGATCATATCACCGAGTCGATCACTTTTTCTTGGCACAGAACTTTACACCTAAATATATCAACCACAATATATTAAATTAATTATCGCTCTCTATATCTGACGAACTAGATATATCTATAACTTCTTGACAAGTTCGCGCGTTATGACCAGCTTTTCCACAAGTTCTACAGCGCCGCCTAGAAGGTTGCCCCTCCTTATAACCAACCCCCGCCTCACGCATGTCGCGTCGTACTTGCTCATCTACATCCTCCTGAGCTAACATATCCTGTACATCCTCTACTATAAGTGCCCCTCCTTGGCGGACACGAGTCTTTTTAGCCCTACGGCGTTTACTTAGGGCTTCATTTGCAGCGCGAAGGGTACGGACCTCAGCAGACAAAAGGGTCATCTCATGTGCCATTCGCTCTGTACCCTTTGCTAACGCAGCAACTGTTTGAAAAAGTGGAGTTGGCGAGCTTCCTTGATGACAGGCTATACGATTTCGTACAAGAGTTGATTGTGAAAGGGCTTCAGTTGGGTTGGAAGGGGTCTGGGACACCCAGGGGAGGGAGTTGGCACTACACGTCCGAGGGGGAGTTGGAGTCCGTAACCTTACGTCAAGCTTTGAAAGCACTGCTTGCGGGTTAAATGGTACTAGGCCAGCTCCGCGGAATCCAGACTGACAGTTTAGGACTGTCATTGTTTCCTTGTATGCTGCTGTAAAGGCTAGAAAGAACTCAACCTTTGTAATATGGTTGATATGGGCCTTGATAAACGTCTCAATCTGCCGACCATACGCTCGTTTTAACACACTATAGCACCCAACATCAAGTGGCTGGGTTAGATGGGATGAATGAGGAGGTAGTCCAAGAGTAATAATGTTGTGTTTCGTACAGTAGTCTTGGAACTCAGCCGATTCATGACTCTCGTGCCCATCCAAAACTAGTATTCGATACAGACCCTTTGCACGAGCTGTAGTGTGTTTATCAAAGTGCTTTAACCATTCCAGGCCTGTTTCATTATTTGTCCAACCATTGCTTGTCGGTTTCATAACCCAGTTAGGTGGGAGGCCGCCGTCGGTATACCAGTTGGAGAGATGGTTCTTGCCCTGAACTACCAAGAATGGAGGAATACTCCAGCCCTCCCCATTAATACAGGCAATTGCTGTAGCCCATTCCCGATTGCCTGGCTGAACTGCCTTGCCTCTACCACGTCGGTCTGCACGAGTAACAACCATTCTAGGACAAATAACACCCATCATAAAGCCTGTCTCGTCGAAGTTGTAGAAGTCGGAGTCTGTAACCCCATATTTCGCCCTCATATTCTCTACTAGCCGGAACCATGCGCCTAGCACGTCAGGATCTTCGCATAAGGCCCTCTGGAAGTCGTAAACGCGATTAAAACGCGTCTTAAGGTCTGGTTGTCGTTGTACGAATCGATGGGCCCAGAGCTTGCCGACGCGTCTTCCCCCCCGCGATTCAAGGATAAAATTAGCCATATCTTCTACACCAGCGAGCCGGGGCGCAAATCCTCTGGAATCCATATCCAGTATATACCGAATAATCACTTCCTCTTCTAACTCAGTCAACTTATGACAATTGGCTTGAGAATCTGGGCGGTAGGTTCGGCCAGCCATTCTGTCGGAAAGAGTCGTATATGGTACATTGTAGATCTTTGCCGCAGAGCGTTTGCTTAGTTTTTTGGACGACCGAATAGCCTCGATAGCTAGAGTAATTCGCGCTTCTTGAGTTTGAATTTCCATGGTAAATAGTTGAAGAAAACGTGTGTTGAAGTTTGAGGAGGTAGTGCCAAGGAAAAGTGATCGACTCGGTGATATGATCGACTCGCTGATAAACCACGTTATACTAATTATCCCTCGAAACGATTACTAAGTAGGAACGCTCCTATGACGCTCCTATAACGCTCCTAGAACGGAGTCCGATTACTAATAGTCATGCGACCGTCCCAAAAACCCCGGGCTCTCCTTTAAGGTACCACTTCCAGATAATAGAGCTAGCAAAAAGGGCATGCGATAACTAGGTCAAATTAAGGATAAAATACTTGGAAAACCCTATCTGGTTGGTCTAACCACTTCGTTTTACGAGAAGAAATTCATCAAAATGGAGACGTTTTACTCCATTTTGAGCGCACCGTTTTTCGCTACCTCTGTCGTTTGGAAGGGATGGAAACAAGCATGGTTTTAGAAGAACAGATTACTAGTTTATTTTTATACCGTAGAGCATGCTCAACAGCATCACATAAGTCTTAGGCTGATTACTTTACGTAAAGTAGAAAGAATGCATAATGTGGGGTGGTTTGCTACAGCTTCCTCCAGTCCTCCATGAGCAGGGCACTCACTAGATTTGAAAAGTCAATAGGCGATATTAAGCGAAGAGACAGTAAGGGGGCTGACTGACTATCCAGAAGACCACTTCCAAGCAATACCTCACTAACACAACACCCAAACCCTCCCATCTCACCTCAAGTAAAAGCCTCCCCCTCGCCTTCCTCATCAACCCCCAAAGCCACCTTCCCATACATCGTCCCCTCCTCCAAAAGCCTATGCGCCTCCCTTAGATTCTCCACCGTAAACTTCATCCGTTTAGTAAGATGACACTTAACAACCCCTCCATCAACCAACTCCTTCATCTCCGTAAAGATATTCTCATAAAACCCCACATCCGTCCCATGATACGCCCTCGTCCCCAACCAACACCACGCAAAAGTCATAGATTTCGACATAAACTTCGTGCCATACATACTAAAATCCGCCTGCACGATCGAACATACCCTCGCAAAGGGGGCTGCAATCTCACCGACGACGTGGATATATTGCTCCGTTCGGCCGAGGATATAGACGTACTTGATCGGAACATCAAGATTCAATTCTTTGACTTGTTTCTGTAGATCTTGGCGATGGTTAAGAACATGCGTCGCCCCCATCTTCTTCGTAAACGCCACCGTCTCCGGCCGCGACGCGGTCGTAATAATAACCGGCAGTTCCAGAACTGAACGTGCGATTTGACTTGCTACTGCACCGACACCGCCTGCGCCGTTGATAATGAGGATTGCGGCTTTCTCCCCTTTTTTGATGCCGAGGCTTTCCACGAGAGAGACGTACGCGGTGGCGTAGGTCAAAGGCATCGCGGCTGCTTGGACGAAATCGAGAGTCTGGGGTTTGTGTCCGCATTGTTGTTCATCGACGAGTTGGAGTTCCGAAGCGGCGCCTTGCAGTGTGGGATTCGAGACGTAGAAGACTTCGTCGCCGGGCTGGAAGCGGGTACACTCGGGACCGGTCTGGAGTACGATTCCTGATCCGTCCATGGCGATGATGTGTGGTGCTTTAGGGACATGTTCGTAATAATCTGGTGGGGTTAGGCTCGCTTGTGCTTAAAGTTTGGGATTTGTTGACATACCAGGAGCATCGTCGTATTTTCCTTGTCGGATTTTGCAGTCGATTGGATTTAGTGAAGTTGCTTTTACCCTTCGAGGTTGTTAGTTTTCTGGTATCTTGTTGACTGGACGTGGGTAGTGACATACTGGACGAGTAGATATGTGCCTTGGGGACTCTCGGGCTCGGGAACTTCCTGGGCAACCAAGTTCTCGACCGCTCCATATGAATTGACTCCTATAGCTTTCATGGTTGTTATATTTGATATTCTTGACTGTTGACTGATTCTGGTATTTCTTGAGTGATGTGTGCTTGAGTGATGTGTGAAGTAGAGAGCCCTGGAGTGCAGCCACTCTCACTTTTATAGACTCACAACCCCCAAAAGACACCCCGCAATCCCCTCTTCAACTAGCAAAGTGAATCCAAGATCTTTACTCATCTCAATTTTCTCCTCGGCATGCTTCCGTTACTCATCCTAAGACTTCGATCGGTGCTATGAAGTTGAAATGTTCAAACATCTCGGCAAATTTATGATTACTAAACATGCAATTAGATGACTTTCTACTGCAACTTGATTTTTACAGTAGTCTGCCGAGGGAACGAGAACCTCGATCACCGATTGATTAGATTGAATTTATACCACCCCAGGCCGCAATCCGGGGTAGTAAGGGGTAATAAAAGCGGAATACAGTAGTCTGCATGTAAAGACCACAGGAACTCACCAATGAGAGCAAAAACGGCCACCTCTTGAATAAAGAGAACCAATGCATGTATGTTAAACAATAATCATTACCATAAAACTCATTTGAAGTTAATCAATTATCCCTTGATCTCGCACCAGGTACATTGGGTCAACGAAACTGAATCCAGTCCACATTCCATATGAAATCCTCAAGAATCCATAACGCCAATACCGTACCCATCCCAACTCCTATTTCCCTTGTGCGCTATTCCCGTAAGACGCATGCCCTTAAATGCCTTCCCTTCCCTTCCTTTCCTCATTAGGTACACCCACAGCCTTGAAATGGACCCCCATAACAAGTCCCATTTACCCCATCACAATTACCGCAGGGTCCCAGAATCACCCCACAAAGCGTTTGACATGGGCAACCCCGTAGATCGCTAGTAGTGCAACTCCCAAGCGAGGCCGTTTGACTATTTAACCCATTACAACCTGGAGCATCGCATTTTCCTATAACCGCGTTTGACGGACAGGTAGAGGTTGAAGTAGAGGTAGGTGGGGAGTTAGATGCTTGGGTGGGAGAAGATGTAGAAGGGCGCACAATGGGGGTCAAGGTTGATTCGGGTAGACGTGCAGAAGGGGTGAGAGTTGATGGAGGGATGGATGTTAGACTGTATGTGATTTGGTTTGGATTTTGCGCTGCTGCGGAAGCTGAAGATACTGCTGCTTCATTGCTGCTAAAGGGGTCTTAGTATGATCCCCGATGATGTCGGAATATGTATTGATAGAATTTACCTCTTATCTTGAGATAGTTGATGGGACAAGACTCCGATGACAACTATCAAAGCAACTACTAAAGCAACGCCCAAAGATCCAAGTATTATCCAAAAAGTCCGCCTTCTAAGACCGAATACTCCTTTGGGTTTCACTTTGGGGTCCACCGCTTTTTCTTCCTGGAATGGCGACGGTTGTGAATATTCTGACATGCCAGAGTGTTGTTTCTCTGGTTGGACAACTTGTGGCGCGGTGTCGTGAGTCTCGTGGTATGGATACTTTTCATTTGGGGTAGTGTCGACTTCAAGACCCTCACCTGGGTAGCGAGGCGAGGAGTTCATTGTAGCAATGGTATGCTTGATCGTTTGACAGCAAAGAGAACTGAAAAAAAAAAGGCTTAGAGTCACGGTAGAATTACGACGTCAAAGGGGGCCCAGGAATTCATTCGGCGTGAAAAGCATTTTAAAGAAGGGGAAGGGGTATTGCCTTCTTTTGAACACACAAGGTTCTGGCTGACCAAGTGAGCTGCGAATCCAAGGCTGGTTACAACAATACAGAGCCGCAAGTACTACTTACGCGATGTAGCATTGAAGATCCAATCCATACTTGACAAGCAAGAAGTACAAGCATCAGGATCCTCAAGTCACTCCATCATGGGGGCCACCTAAAGATGCGCAGCAATTATTCCTGTTTCGTTTCAGGAAAATACGAAAAGGGTTACCCCTTGCCAACACCCCGCAGATGTTCATTTCAACGCTTACTGTACTGTACCCAACTTTCCTGTGTTGCACCCCTGCAAAATCCCGTTTCGGGGCGCTATTTGTGCGGCGAAGCACCTCTAAAAGGATGGTACTCTACTCGTAAGTACTCGACCAAAAATTGGAGGTAAGCACTGGAAAGACTGCCAAACGTTTCTCAGGAGGAGAAGGTTCGCTTTGGCGCGTGGACCCAAAGGCGCGAGAGATATGATTTATGGGGCTCCTCGTATATCAACACGCCCCAGCTTGATGTCGATCGCGGGGAAGCACGCACCAGAAAGTGACCTGCTTGAAAAGCCCAGTTTGCGGAGGGAGGCTCCACCAGGAAGGCTGCACTTAGATTGATCGACCAAGGTTAATTGATATGAGTGCGTTCTCGCTATATCCTTTGGTGATGTCGACGCCAAATATCTTCGCGAAATGCGTGTGGCTAGTTGTATCCATTTTCAAGGATACTTTTCGCTTTATCCTACTGTTCTCATGCCAGCGAGGGGCCCGCGAGATACTGCAGTGTTGTAACGGCCTCGGAAAAGGTCGCTTTCAATTGGGCCGTGGAATAATAATGCTACAATCTGTAGAAGGTGGGGTGAAAATCTGAGGACTTTCGAGTGACACATACACTGGGATCACCATAAGCAGCAATATGCCGGTTGCCCTCAACCCCCTTTAGAATAGACCTTAAGCGCTCTGATCATCGAGACAGGGCCGTAAGCGCATTGAGTCGTTGCCCGGAGAGGTCTTCATAAAGTGATTTTTCTAATTCAGGGTCTGGTTTCGCGGGTGAGATTGTACGAATGGTGTCTATGTTTCATCGGTCAGTACCTGTCATCCCGTCGTCGACTACGAGACCTACTCGTTTGTGCATCAAGGGCTAAGCTCCCAGCGGTTATGGAGCTTTCTGCTCGCAGCAAAATTATATCTAATAACCCTAGTATAAATTTGCGACTTTTGCCGGGTCAGAATTGTCCCCACAAAAGGTGCGAAATCCGTCTATTGGAGTGTGACCTCAGCCATACTGTACTGTTTGACAACCTTCTGCCCAACCCACCCAGCTTCAGCTCTTCATCTTCTGTGTACACAGCCGCTCTGGATGATGAGATGGACTCAAAACTGCTTGAGAACCCGGGAGTGATTGGATATGGTCTTTTCATAAGTGATACAACAGGATTGTCAGATTGATTGGATATGGTCTTGTCATGAGTGGTACAACAGGATTGATTGGTTTGGTGTCCGGAAGCTGGTGTGTATGCAATGGATCCTTCGGACCCTTCGGAAAAATAGCTGAGGCTTGCGAGAAGATGAAATATCTTCTGGGGCCTTGGAGACAGTTGTAGCCTCATCGCAAGAGATGTCAAATTTGTCCGTCTGAGGAGCAGAGGTTGGTGGATCTGACTGGCGGGCCATCGGTAATACCAACCGAGGACAACAACGACGCCACCAAAAGTCAATACAGCTATATGGGTATATATATATGCCTGGAATATTTATTATGGTTGATGTATATATATATGCCTGGATATTTATTATAGTTGATGTATATACATTCACAAATATATCCGACAAACATCCAAGGTCTTGGTGGTGTTGTCGTTCTAATTCTAGAGGCATAGGGTGGCGTAGGGTGGCTCATGACCTGACCTGGGCCATCTCACGATGATCGTGCCTTAGCAAGAAGCGGAATGCTTCGGCTCGCGCCAAAGGGAATTGACGGATTCTGCAAGAATCGGACGGAACTGAGTGCCTCGGCTTTGTTTGCCGAAGAGCACCCGAGCGTTCATGCCTTTCATCATATGGCGTGTTTTTCTTCTCCCCATTTCCCTTCCATTCCTATTTCTATTCTCATCAATACCAGAGTTTGCGAAGGCGAAACCATCAGACTGAACCCTTTGCTCACGCCATGCGATGATACTACTGCATCTGCCCAGGCACATCAGTGACATCATCCATTCTACCAAGACATGATGCCCCGGCGCATTCCCTCCACCGTCTTGGCCATGGGGCGTGATGGGCGTGGTCTCCGCGGTCGGGATTCCAAGTTTGCAGTTGCAGCAACAAGAACACAAGCAGTCTGTGTACAGTGTCGAAGAGATACCAGTGGGACATCATCTGGACCAAGACATCTCCTCACATCAAATGCATCAAATGCATCAAATGCATCAAATGCGGGAGCAACAGATCGAGGCCTAGCCGGCTCTCGCAACCCCTCGTCGGCATTTCTCAAAGGACAGACAAGGACTCTGGCCACAGTGCACCACCATAGTAGGACGATGCTGTCTAAATGTGTATCAACTGCTAACGGACTGATAGCACATCTAACAAACATCGCGGATCATGGCCCCATGCGAGAGTATGACCTTCGTGTTGCTTCCGGGAGGTTGAGAGATGATGAGCATCAAAGAGGTGGGCATTTCTGGTAGCACTGCAACATACCAGTTGCTAACAAAGCGTAAAGGTATTATACAAAGCCTACAACATCTCCACGATGAGTTGTGTGATTACGAGGCACCTCCCATTATCAAGCCTGCCTTCGAGTCCCTTAAACCAGAACCTGTGTCGGTGTTTGGGCGGGTGTTTGGCGGTACACCAAAGGGAAAAAGACTACAAAATATTCCCGAGAACCTCCCTAGAGGTTTATATCTCTTTGGTGATGTCGGAAGTGGGAAGACCATGTTGATGGACATGTTCTACGAGACCCTTCCCGACAATGTGACTTCCAAAACGAGGATACACTTCCACAATTTCATGCAGGATGTCCACCGACGCCTCCATAAGATGAAGATGGAGCATGGAAACGACATTGATGCGTTACCTTACATCGCTGCTGATATTGCTGAGCAGGGAAACGTTCTCTGCTTTGACGAATTTCAATGCACCGACGTGGCAGATGCTATGATCTTAAGACGGTATGTTGAGTGCTTCTCAGCGGCCCAGTCTCGTGGGGCTAATCATTTTGCAGTCTCCTAGAAGCTCTCATGTCTCATGGAGTCGTTCTAGTGACAACTTCCAACCGACATCCAGATGACCTCTACCGAAATGGTATTCAAAGAGAGTCATTTGTTCCATGCATACAGCTCCTTAAAAACCGGCTACATGTCATCAACCTGGATTCCCCCACAGATTATCGTAAAATGCCTCGACCACCATCTGGAGTATACCACTCACCTCTTGATTCGCATGCTCGAAGTCATGCCGAGAAATGGTTTCGATTCCTAGGTGATCCAAATCAAGATAAACCACGCTCTGAAACTCAATACGTCTGGGGCCGTGAAATCCACGTTCCCAAAGTGAGCGGACGGGCAGCAATGTTCACTTTTGGCGAACTAATCGGAAGGCCAACTAGCGCAGCAGATTATATTGAGCTTATGCGTAGCTATGACTCCTTCATCGTTACCGAGGTTCCGGGTATGACACATCACCAACGTGATCTCGCAAGGAGATTCATCACATTTATCGACGCCGTCTACGAGTCGAGAGCCAAACTGGTTCTAACAACCGCTGTTCCACTTACTCAACTTTTCCTGTCTAAACAGGAAATCGAAGATAGTGTCAAGCACAAGAACAGTCAGCATGAAGGCGCAGATCTAGATGATACCATGAGAATGATGATGGACGATCTGGGTATGAACATGAACATGTTGAAACACAGCTCCATCTTCAGTGGTGACGAGGAACGTTTCGCTTTCGCTCGAGCTCTGTCGAGATTGAGTGAAATGGGGAGTAAAGAGTGGATAGAGCGAGGGATGGGACTCGAGAAACATGGTGGTAGGATGGAGAGAGATAGCTGGGCGAAGACCAGAAGTAAGCAGTTTGAGGACAGTATGTGAGGTACTTGACTCATTCTGCACGATTTGCACAATTACATGCCAACAGAGCTTTTGGGCATCAGGAAGGACCCAGCACCTATTAATTAGATAATACCCCCCTTTGTAATAATTGTTGTTTTATGCATGCTCGTTTTCGCTTCCCCTGTTTATATCATCATTTTCGTTTCCTCTCCTAGTTGTACTACCTCAGTCAATGTACCATCATCTCGCATATGTACCTGTCTACTTGCGTACACTGTATGTAATATCACTCTTCCTTACACACATACACTAGCTCCACGTACCTGTACGGCGTTATCTAGCACCACCCTATCACGCTTATTCTTCCTTCAACCTACAGTACATTTGCCCTTCCATTCCACTCTATCAATCACTGCATTGAACCAGAGGGCACCAGAGGATTGTCATCGGGACGTTTGATACGACCCGGACCATACCTACCCTGGTCGAAGAGTGTTTTAACGGGGATGAGATGGGCAAGCGTATTGGGCCTTGGTTGGTGCACGCAGGAGGGTTTTAGTGGGGAGCTAAATTCTTCGATGTGCAACAAATGATGTGGGCTTTTTACTTGTTTGGGGGGTTAGGGGGCGGTTTTTTTTTTTCGTTTTTGGCATGGTTTGGTTTTGGTTTTTTGGTTTTGGGGTTTGTTTGGGGGCGGATGGGGTGTTGGGATGGGGTGTTTGGACTGTACATTACTGTATTTGGTAGGAACGTGGGAGGTGGGTTTTTGTTTGCTTTGTTTGATTTTATTTTGTTTGATTTTGTTTGATTTTGTTTGATTTTGTTTAGTCTGGTCTGTTGGTTGTTTGTAAATTATTTTTTCTTTGCTTGTTTTGGTGTGGGAGAGTTGGTTGGTTGGTGAGGCTGTGGAATGGAGGTGAGCTGTATAGATAGGGTGTTGGATAGGTGTTGGATGTACTGTAGCTTGTAAGATGTTGGGCGTGATTTTGATTTGAATTTGGTCTACTTGTGGCGGACTTGTACAGTTTGTTTCTGCCTTTCTGTATTTAAGAAGAATACCTGTGATAGCTGGTTTATTACATGAATTCCTACAAAGTCCCAGAAAGAAATTGTGTTTCAAATAGATAATTGATGCCTTGCCTCTCATTGACCATTTACCATCACAGTTCTCAAAGATATAATCATTAATGTTATCCAGTCTACCTAATTGCTACATGCATAAAAGACTCTCTTTCATCTCGTCATCCTGAAGGTATGTGTAGTCTGGTAGACTCATCTTCCAATCCCCTCAGTTCAATGACTTCCCTGGACCATCGTCATCAACCACGTAGGTACACCTTGTACACCCACCCACATGCTACTGAGGGACGGCCCGCAATCCAATCCTGCTTGCTGCCTTGCTGCCTTGCTGCATCGAATCTAATCTATTTGCTACCTACCTACTGCATCGCCACGGAAGTTGGGCGTCCGGTATGATTTGAGTGAGTTAGGAAGGTACTTGTCTATCATCTATCCATCTCTCCATTTGAGGATAAACAGATGTTACATCCAAAATTCATCATAATGCAGATATGTTGCTAGGAATATGGAAGTCCAGGGTGCCAGGAACGTTGTACTGTATTCAGATGACTGGGAGTTAACTATAGGTACTGTGGGCAGCTTATATGCCCCTCCTTTGTTATCGTTCCATTCCATGCATGCAGGTCTCGTGCAGTGGAAACCACTGGTCATAATAACTGACAACAAGATATCTACGCACTAATAATGATATACGAAGTACCAAGAATAAACTCGTGGTATGGTCTTAGTCAGAATACCAGGGTTTGTTCACGTGGTTTCCATTGTGTTGTTTCTGTGGAGAAGAACCTTACCTAGGGACATGCGGGTGGAGTTGGAGATAAAAATAGACGGTGGCCTAGGGCTTTGTCGGCCAAGAAACTGCGGAGCTGTACAAGTACAGCGATAAAAACAGATGACTGGGTTATTGGGTCCAGTATTGACTGCGGTCTGGACCTGAACTGAAAAGAGAGGTTTGAGTATGTTGTGTGACTTGGGGGTTGTTGGTTTTGCCTGGGTTGAAAATGTTGCTTTGTGTTAAGAAGAGTGTGGGTTGGGCCAATCTGGTGTAAAGAGGGTGGACAGTTCTGTCTATCCACCACAAATGCGGAACGAATAGGTGGGGTTTATACGTAAATACTCAAGTACCCTTGCTTCTTTTATGTTATTTGTACCTAATTCGTCCAATAGTCCTACATAAAACGCTTGAAATGGCCTAGTAATAGTATAAAGGCTGTATAAATCTATTTAAAACTAGTGGATTATACTCTTCTATCGTTCGGCATTTGGGGTACCTGTTTACCCTCTTGACTACTGTTGAGCCACGTGGGCGATTTTTTTCCTTGTGCCTCTTGCCTTGAAATCGCCTCGGGATTCTTATACTGAGATTAGGGTTAGGCTGTTCTCTTATCCTATTGCATCAGCATGGATTTTCAACCTGCAGGAAGGAGATTTGTTTTGGAATCAGGAAGGAATATTTGAGATCTGATGCATGGGAATCACCAACTCTTATCGATCCTACATCTCTTTGATACTGTGAGGCACATGGTTATCTATTGAACTTGATAATTGAAGTCATCTCAGTTGGGTCTAGAACAAGGTTTTCTATGCGGGTCTTATTTACTGTGTAGTGCTAAGCATATATCGTAACGATATTGACTGATTTAGAAGTATGTTGTCATAGGAATTCTTGATGCTTTTTTGTTTCAGCGAATATTATTACAGTCACGTTAAGATATGTTTCATCTTAGCATCCTACTTTTCCCCTCCATAGGTGATATATCTGGAGATGAAAACCTCGGGGTAATGCCGATAAACCAAACCCTCGGGACGATTGAAGATTTTTTTCCTAGACTTCTCGACACAGAAGAATACGTAAAATTTTGTTTCATTCGCCATCCCTTACCTATTCAAGCTTCATACTTCGGTACTTGGATCCCAAAAAACTTGATCGCATCTCATATTTATAACACTTTTACGCTTCTACATGTTTATACGGTTAAAGCGGACTTTTGTTGATGCGCATCAAAGGAATCTCCGAGTTCTGGTAAAAATATCGCCTTGGATCGACCTTTCCGGGTTTCCCCACTGGATGGTGTCTCACTGCTCAGGCCAAGCAAGTGTTGGTCAACCCACGCCCATTCGCGAACCATCGTATCAACAACAACTCACCAGGAAATCTCCAGGACAAACCTACGACAGTCTTCCTAGAGGATGGGAGGCTATTCGTACCAGATTTTGAACCAGCTCATCCATCACAATTCCTTTCTCGTGGAGGTGGGTCGGTAGAGTATCGGTTGGCGAAGCTTTTTGCACCTGTTTTAAGGGGTTTTCCAAGTTCTTATTTTCACAAGTTCTGCGTCTGAGCTTCAGATACCTGGTATGATCTGCCCTAAGATTAGCCAGCGGTATACCGAACTGCTGTGCCCCAAAAAAGACATGCAGTTGCTGCATAGCCCACCAAACAGAGCCATCCCTGGCCCATTGTGGTCATTCTCCTTCACGGTATCCACCATCCATCCCCTGCCGCTGGATCCTTCGAGGTTGAACGACTGGTCCGTCCTCCAATCGGGAGTTCACCAGCGCATGGCAATGAACATGCACCCCTCCTCACCTCTCAGTTGGGGACGGCTGTGTGCGAGGGGGAGGGGGGGTCTTTTACCCACTTTAACGGCCTTCCCAGGCGTCAGGTTGGTTTGCAGTTGGAGCTTTGCGACCTTCAAAAGCCCATCCCACAGCCACTGCGGCGGAATTTTCGCAAGCGCGTGTGTTTGATTCAAGGTGGCATCTTTTCTTCCTTCCTTTCTTTCTTTATCGTTCTTGCGTCGCTCTCTCGAGCTTTGATTTTGGTCCTTCTTTCTCATTGTTTTTCTTTCGTTTATGTAATCGCTTCGCTTCGCGATGGCTATCGCTTTCAATCCCTTCGCCATGCCGCCGTCCTCGGTGGCTCTCTTGTTCTCGCTGGTTTTGGGTCTGACAAACGCGATGCCTTGGCCTCAACCTGCGAGAACGGCGGCCTATGTGGCAGATGAATGGACACCACGACCGACGCCAATGCCCAGAGATCCAGCAAAACTATTCAAGAGAAGCTCAGTAGCGGTGGCAGTATGTGGTTGGGCAGGAGGCAATTTGGCATACCCTGCGCAATGTGGAAGCGGCTCTTCGTGTGTACACGACACAATGCACGGATTCGTTGGTTGCTGTACTACCAAGGGGCCGTGTACACAGGGAGTATATACAACATGTATCGATAACACGAGTCCAGGATGGGAGATAGCAGCAGCTCCGGTGAATGATGGTGTAATGAAGTGGTAAGTAGTGGGAATATGAGAGGAGGAGACATAGCTAACAAGTACAAGTATCGGGGCAGACCTATGTTACAAGAACTCCTATCCTGGGGGATACTCACAATACCAGTGCGGAAACCCAGCGTTAGCTACCGCGATTGAGACTGCATTTATTGGGCAGCCAACCGAAGTCAAGTTACAAGTGGTGTTTACAGGCGTGACTTTCGATGCGGCACCTATAGAGACAGTACAACCATCGGGACCATCGACCATTGACCCTTATGTTACCGAAACAGCTGTTGTAGAGCCAGGAATGGATCCAGCAGCAGCCCAAGGTACCGCTGAAGCCTCAAGTGGTTCGAGTGCAAACGCAGGAACGGTGGCTGGAGGAACAATTGCTGGTATTGCCGCGGTGGCTTTGTTTGGAGCCCTTGGTTTCTGGTGTTTGCGGCGTCGCCAGAAACATGACCAGGGCAGGAGAAAGTCATCATTTTTCAAGTAAGTGAACACTTAGGCTTGGGCATTCGGTATATATGCTTACACAATACGAACAGTACAAGCAAGAGAGACATATTTGGACCACGGCGATTATCGTTCAAAGCCGTTCGGCAAAGTGCTCATATGGACGACATTGTCTCACCTATGACCGGAATTCCCGAAAATGGGCGTAGTTTTACCAATGCCAGCTCCTATCTAGCGGCAGGAGGAGCAGGCGGAGTGATGCAGCGACAAGGAGTCTCTTTCTCTTCGATATCACGAGGCAGTCCATTCGCTGACGAGAATGCACGGCAACCATCGACAGTACCAACAGAATTTTCGGTTGGTACCCGAGAAAACCCATTTTTAGACAGAGAAGAATATGTAATTGACCCTGAGCCACGAGCTCTTTCACAGCGGTCTCGTTATTCTATACCACCTAGAAACCAAACCCCATCTCCAGCACCACTTGAGGCCGCTCGTGAGCAAAAGTTGCCTCTGGTAGAAGAACAACTTGTAGAAGAAATCGAAGACTTCTCTCGCAGTTGGAACGACGCGGTACGAGAAAATAATAACTTCGACCAATCCGACACGACAAAAGAGTTTGCTCAACCACAACCAGAATCTACCAGTGGACTTGGAATCTCCCATGGCCGGACTGCAGATCGAGAAGCTCGAACGGAAATGTTACGTGAAGCAAAAATAGAATCTTTCCGTGCAATGGCACACCCCCAGCCTCCGTCTCTCCAAACAAAACAACATGTACACTGGGAATCTCCTCAACTCAGAAGTGCTAGTAGCGATGTATCCAGTCTCCATAATACACCGATCCAACCACAATTACGAATTATGAATACTCACTACGCAAGCAACTCTAACACAAGTCTACCAGCAACACCAACAATTACAATACCCACCAACAGCAACCTCGAAAGACCGATCCACCCATTAGAAATTGAAGCATATCGACAAAGTATGGAAAGCGGACGATCCCGACTAAACAGCAACACACCCAGCACTCACAACCTCCAAAGACCAATCCACCCCCTTGAAATTGAAGCCTATCGACGGAGTATGGAAAGCGGACGATCCCGATCCGACAGCAACGACACAATGGTCAACGCCACCTCGGAACGAAAATCCTCCGTCTACTCACTGCGCCCTCTCCCGCCTCCCAAATCTCCAAGACGTGGATCATCGCCTCTCTCCACCCCAGTGAACCCGAAACATGTATCCTTCGGTCTCACGGGGGCCATCAGCGGCGCCCTGAACGATAGCGACGGCTGGCGCGGATCCGGGCTCGATGGCCGTGGATGGTCGCCCGCGTGGTCGGGGATAGGAGGTGGATGGCTGGAAGGCCAGAGTGGAATGGCGATGAGTACTCTGGATGAGAATCGCGTGTTGGATACCAACGTGCCACCTGACGGACCGGCTGAATTGGATGGACAAGCGAGGAGGGTTTCGAATGCCAGTAGGATCGCACGAGGGAGTGTCAGTTCACAGAGGACATCATCTATCTCGCATACTCACACCCATACTCGTGGGCTATCGAGCCTGAGTTCTCAGCAGAGAAAATCTGCAGACGACGTGCCGGTTATGAATAGTCCTTCTCAACTAAAGACGGACAGAGGAAGAGGGAGGGGTGGAACTTTTGGTTGATTATGAGGTCATGGGTTAAGCGAGAAGAAGGGAATGAGTGTATAATAAAAAGAGATGGATTTACATAATGTATTTTTGGGACGGTTTATGAGCGTTGTGGGATTAGGAGTTCAGGTGGTGGGGGTTTGGATAAGGAAGGAAGGATATAAAGAGATATGAGTCGAGTATTTACTGTAATGTAAAAGTTTAAACTATTTTACTTCTTTGTATGAAAACGCCTTTTAGTGACTCAGCTTTACCTTAACGAGATCTCATCAGTAAAATATAAACAAACCCAAAAATCATCAGACTACTCATAGGCCACTGATTATTAGCACATTAGATCAAGTAGCCAAGGGGAGTAGCAACACTAACCCTACTCGCTTATATAATTCTTACTACCACTCTACTCTACGTTACTGAACACTTATCACTACAACACACCTAAGAAATATACTCAATTACACCTATCAGCTCTAGCTCTAACTCCAGCTCTTATCCATACCACATAACACCTTCCAACTTCCAACATACAACCATTCCTACTACCCACAACTCAATCTACCCTAGTCCAACACAACCCAACCCACCACAACTCAATCTCCTCCCCTCCATACCACCACACGTCATCAAATCCAAAATTACTCAAATAGACATAACCCAACAATATCCAAGTAACTAGGCCTGAGCACGAGCCAAAACCCGATAGCCAGGCTGCCAACGGGTAGGGCATGAATCCGGCCGGTCCTACCGCTTGGAACTCGCTTTATGTACGGCATAAGCGAGGGTATAAATTTACCTGCTTACTTCTAGAAGTAGATTTACGTTGGATTTTGTTTTTGTGTTCGTGCATTCTTTTTTTGATTGGATTGATTGTGCTTGGTGTAATCTACTCCTTCGTATCTTTCTTTGAGCTTGCAATTATGGTATGATACCTCTATCAAGTCAAAAGCTTGAAGGCAGGTTGAAATTCCACGCTACAGCATACACCGTCATATGTCATGCAAACCCACTGAGCTTAAAGTATTAAATATTCCTATCTAAAAAGAAGCTCTGTTTTCCATCCACTCTTGTCTGATCATTTCCAAGGGGAGGTGAACTGACTATACACACCAGTTACAGTTACAGGATTATCCAGCTGCTCACTTGTCATACACACCTTCTCATTCTTCCCGCCGTGAAATACCCCACTGCATTTCTATAACCCCATCAACCCATCCTACCAGCCCTTCCACCAATCCACCAACCTCTCCGCTTGAGCTCCCACTCCTTCCTCAGCCTCCCACCCAGCCCACCATGAAATTCCAATCCAATAATCTTCAAGCGTCTCTCCTCCGGTAACATACTCTCCAGCAATCGAAAACAATGTGCTATCCGTGAACACTCTTTCCTCCTCAGGAGCCGAAATTCGTGATCCGAAAAAGAAGACCGCGGGTTGGTTGGAGAAGGAGATCTTAGTGAATCAGCTCCGGGTGTGATGAATCTAGTTGGAGTATCACCAAAGATTGATATAGGTCTTTCGGATAGACGGCTTGAAGGACGGACGGGATTGGTATGTCTGTAGCTCAATGATGTTTGGGATGAGGAGTAATTTGAAGCTGCTGTTGGAGGAGCGGATCGAATTGTGGTTGTTGTTTGATCTGTGGGAATTCGGATATCGACTTGGATGCCTTCCAAGGCTGGACTGACATTGCGTATTACCATAATTGCGGGAGCGAGAGAGTCCGTTGATATTGGGGAGTTGGGTGAGGTGAGACGGATATAGCTCGCTCTTCGAAGATACCGTTCGTTGTGGCTTGTAAATGTGACACACTTTCCTCTCTATTAGCTCATCTCTTGTGGTGGAAAAGGTCAATTACCGAGGGGCTATGCTCTTCTTTGGGGCTTCTAAACACGTCTTTGACTTTCCGAAATGCCCATTTGGCAAAAGCCTACAAAAGAGAAAGTAAGTATCCTCCCACGGTTATCATTTCAATACCTCTCTCCAAATAGAGATAAAACCTACCCTACTCCTCTCCCTTAAAACCGTAGCTTCACAAACCCCACAACTCACCCCCGAAACATCCACCGTCAAATACCCATCACCCCCCAAAACTCTATTAGTCTCCTCCTTCCACCTATTAAAATCCATCAGAAAGTTTCCCAAATCCTCTTCCGACTGTAGCGCATGTTTTATCGTCACGTTATTAACAAGAAACCTCGCATAGTCGCTTGTAGTAGTGCCTGGTAATTCCTGAGGGACGAACGTTCGCTCTTGGCTGTTTTTTCTAGAAGCAGTTCTAGAGGCCGGTAAAAGGCTCGCACTTTTCGAGCGTGGTAAGTTTCCCATGGAGTGTCTGCGGGGTGGACTTGGTGGGAGGACTGTTGTTGTTTTGGACCAGTATGCGCTTTTGGATTTTCGAGGGTCGTGGGGCCTGCGACCTTTTGTGATGTTGAGGGATGAGAGATTTGGGACTGAGCATTTTCGGTACGCTGGAGGGTCTTCGTTGATTACTGAGAGACGAGAATTGGATGATGAATCTGAAGATATGGGGTTCTCGTCTGCTGGTGGGGAACGGGACGATGAGGCTACTGTTGGTTGGGATGGGTGTATATACATATTGTTTGAAGATCTTGTTGATGTTACTCCTATGAAGATAGGTACGGTCTTCGAAAGAATATCATATTTCAAGGCTGTGTTCAACTACCTGCGATGACAGAAGCACAGTACTAACCTGGAAGGTACGATGATGGCCCGTTCCTTCTCGCAGTCCATGTTCGACAAAAAAGACTTTCAAGAGGACCTCGGGAGGAAGAGTGATCTCATAGAAAGAAGAGAGTCATGCCTTCTCTTTCGTCTGTTGGGATAAAAATAGGTCCCTTGCTGAGGTCAAGTCGAGGGAGAAGGAGCGATAAGTAGTCGAGGATCCGTATCAGCAGAAACGACGACCCAACCCAATCTTGAAACCACTTCTCCTCTCAATCACATCAAGAAATCTCCAAAGGAATTCCCAACCAAGAAAAGGGCGCCAACAAAACACAAATACCCATAATAGCAATATACTACAAGAGAACAAAACACCACACACCAGATCAATCCATACAAATCTCCAGCACCACAAACAAACTCCTCCCTCCTTCCCCATTTCAATCCCCCGCAATTCCTCGCACCAGCCAAAAATCAAAATCCGTGGTAACTCAAAGCATCATCATCGCGCCAAATAAGCGAGAGTCGTCATGTTTGCGTCACACAACAGGCCAACCCTCACCACCACGCAGCAGATCAATATATATAAATCATCAGCACCACAAAAACCCTCCTCTCCTCTCCCTTATGATTCCCTGCATTCCCTCGCACCAGCCGAAACCCGTCGCTGGGTTACTCAAGGACACGCCACATAAGCGAGTGTACCCACCCATACTAATGTTTGCGTGACACAACAAGTCTCAAGCCAACACTCACCACCACGCCATCTCCGAACAAGTTGAACAACGAGTACATATCGCATCTCCTGCCTTCTCAAACATGTACGTAGCAGCATAGATGTATTTCACCTCTCTTCTAGCGTGGTTGATTTACTGTAGAAGTTCGCTGCTTGTTATGAGTGGGTCTGTTGAGGTGTTTTCTCTTTCTATATGTTGGATTTCTTTGCTACTACTTGTACTGTTACGGAAGAGGGAAGGGAGGGGCTTGAGGGGAGATGAGGATGGCACTGGATGGAACTTCCATACCATCTAAGGCTGTATATTCATTGGGAGATTAGAATAGTAGATGATATTTATTAGCTCGAGTGTTTTATTATTCTAATAAGATCACACCCCTTTCCCAACCCCCCTTCACAACCACCTCCCCCATCCCTCACAAAGCCCGCCACTAAACCCCAAAACGCCCCTCACCCAAACAAACAAACAAACAAGTCTTCCTTACACAACACAACACAACTCTCCACAAGCGCGCCACCAACCCTAACCCATCAAGATCCTCCGCCTCGTCCTCAACTTCCCATCCTAAAAACCCTCATAAACCACCCCCTCCCAACCTCCCAACCCACCAAACCAAGTCACTCAAATCAATTCGGCCATAAAAACAACATCCATAGTGAAACAATCCACTATCCACTATACGACACCACAACAGGATTAAGGTATTTATTTACTTGCCATCATCCACAATCTTACGATGCTGTACTATATGCATGTATAGTGTATTTGTTCGTTGTAACGTCACACTGTCTGTGGCCATACCTGCGAGGCTTAGGTCCTGTAGTCAGTTGTGTGACGAGGAGGGTTGGAGGGGGGTATAAAGGTTCTGTTCCCTTGGGGGAGGAGGGTGTTTGCGTCTCTTTGCTTCATGAAGAAGATTGAGCTGCAGGATTGAAATACCTATCACGTTACTTACTGTCAAGCGAGATCAAAGGCACCTTACCTACCTACCTTACGTCTCAACCGCTCTAGACACTTACCTCAAGTTAATTCTCTCATCACTCATCCCATTTAACAGAGCAAAAAGAAGAAAAGAAAGAAAAAGAAAAAGAAAAAACAAGCCATGCCCCCCTGCCGTCCCTGCCTCCGCCGAACCCACCACGGCACCCCCCAAGAATCGCAGCAACTAGTAAAATATCGCCATCCCTCCCACACCCACCCCAAGCTAATCCTCAACACACCAACCTACGTCGGATCCTTCTCACAACGCTTCATCCACCAGCACCTGCCCAATCTCTTCCACCAAGCCCGTCAACAAGGCGATCGGGTCNCTAATCCTCAACACACCAACCTACGTCGGATCCTTCTCACAACGCTTCATCCACCAGCACCTGCCCAATCTCTTCCACCAAGCCCGTCAACAAGGCGATCGGGTCCTGGATCCTCTCTTGAACTTCATCCCGAATTTCCAGCACTACAGCGATCCCCTCTACTACTCTTTAGCACTCGACTGGGTCGTGACCCGCGTCGCCTTCTTCGCGAAGAATGAGTACGCGTTTGGGAGTAGCTTTAATGTCTTCTCGCCGTACGCGATAGGACGGGGAGGGTATGCGGCGGGTTCGGGAGCGAATGCTGGGTTGAGCCCGCCGAATATCTTGCAAGATTATTTTTATATGGTGAAGGAGTGTTATAGTATCGGCGACATGGTGGGCGCGTATCAGGCGCTTAATGACTCTGTTGGGATCCTAAGCGCTATTGGTAATGTCCTGAGGAGCGAGAAGGGAACTTCGTATAGTGACCAGCTGATGTACGAGTACCAATCGACCCTCACGCCATTCTTCTCGTGGACGGGTGATTTGGATCCTAGAGGGACTTATTTGCTGTTGAAGGCGGCGTATCGGGCGAGTAGTGAGGATCCTGGGACGGTGGTGCTGTTGTGTAATAATCTTGGTCCTAGAGATGCGGAGGATGCGAGACAAGAGGCGCTACGGAATATGGTGATGTTTGGGGATCGGATTGCGGGGGATATTGCGCAGTTGATTCCTTGAGGTTGTTAAGTGATTGAGAGAGACATGATGTTGAGATGTTGGATATGGAAATACCTTGGTTTGTTCGCCAACCCGTCGTTTATCAGGATAATCGATATTCGGACGATAATACGGACAATGTCCAGGCCGGAACAACGGGATCCAAGACGGAGATACCCATTCAACGCAATCCAAAACCCGCATTTTAAGGTTGTTCCACAACGACATCATAGCGTCGTCTAAACACCACATGCTCTCCCCTGGAAAGATCCCAGAAACGAAAATCCATCAGAATAAAAAAACACAAGTCTCTAACTTCCATGACAAGTTCCAACATGAAGAAGGAAATACAATCTCGAGTATCCCCACCATGATCAACACAACCGAATCCCCAAGCGAGAACAATGGAAACAACACACCCCCAGTCCCCTTCCCTCGGCTCGTAACCGAAACCCCATGCACACCCTGATACATTCTCATGACTCTAGCTCCGCTTGGTAACTCACACAAAAGTTAACCCAACCCACACACGCACAAGGAAAACCGACAACGCTCGCCACCCCAGAAACCCTCTCGTCCCCCGAGAATCCCGATCTCCCTCACGGAATCCGTAGACAACCAGTTGCAACCCAAAGCAAAAGGGGGTGCAAAGAATAAAAAAACGGCAACAGACAAGAACAAGTTTCAAAACAAGAAAAGAAGAAGAAAACAACACGATGAGGAGGTAGAAGAATGCACACCTGCATTCATATCCCGTAGTCCATCATGGATACTATGCCCATGCTGGCATTCGAAAGCCAGGAAGCGGAGTTGAAGGAGATCCTGGAAGGTAGTGGTGAGGAACACCGTCTCACGCAGGGCAATGGGGAGAGACGAGAGGTAGAAGATCGAGCGACGTGGCAGATGGTGAAGAGGTATCGTGCCAGTGTGATGTGGTCAGCATTCGTCGGGATGGCGGGGATCAATTGGGGAATGGACGTTCTGGTGAGGATCATCATTCATCATGCATCTTTTTGGTGTTTGGTTGGACTTCTGGAAATGTAGTGCTGATGGAGAGATAGCTATCTAATGGAATCATCTCGGTTCCTGCCTTCCAACGAGATTACGGATACATGTTCGAGAATTCTTATATTATAAGTGCGAGTTGGCAAATTGCCTTTAATACGGCGGCGTCGATTGGTGGTTTCTTCGGGGCGATTGGGTCTGGATATGTTGTCAATAAATGGGGGACGAAGTTAACACTTGCCGTTGCGTGTATGGTCAGTATAGCTGCTGTATACCTACAGACATTCACAATGGATATGGGGTTGTTGATGGTTGGAAAAGTAAGGAATTGTCCTCCACCAGATTGATTGAAGAAGTACCAACTTGTCTCTCACAGTTAATCAACGGAGCTACCCTGGGTGCTTTCCTAACCATAACCTCCTCGTACGCGGCAGAAGTATGTCCCGTTGAAGTTCGAGGCCTGACGACTTCCGGAGTCCAGCTGTTCATTGGCATTGGACAGCTCTCAGCGAATCTCATTATCAAAGCAACTGGAACCATGGAATCGGATTTGGCATATAAAATCCCTTTCTCGTTGCAATTCATATTTCCCGTACTTTTGTTGATCGGCCTACCATTTTGTCCGGAGTCCCCTTGGTTTCTAGCACGGTCGAACCAAAACGCCAAAGCAATTTCGACACTCGCTCGATTGGGACATCTCTCTCCAGAACAGAGTCTCGCGGAAATCGCTCTAATCATCAACCACGAACGACAAAAGTTATCGTCAACTTCGTATCTCGACTGCTTCAAAGGCTCTGATCTCCGACGAAGCGAGATAGCGATGGGGATCTTCTCCGTAGCTCAATTGACAGGTGTCGGATTCGTTGTCGGGTATAGTAGTTACTTTTTCGAGCTCGCTGGACTGTCGGCCTCCCACGCATTCAGTCTTTCAGTTGGAGTAACCGTTCTCGGACTTGTGGGAGTGGTATGTTCCTGGTTTCTCATCAATCGAGCGGGACGTCGACCAACTTCTTTATATGGCACAGCTTTCTTGTCCTTGCTCCTATTCCTGATCGGAATCTTGGATGTCATCCCGGGTCATCATGAGAGGAGTGTGATTTACGGACAAGTCACATGCATCATCCTCTTTGCGTTTGTATATCTCATGACCATCGGACCCATGGGCTGGACTTTATTCGCAGAGATCTCGTCTCCTCGTCTTCGCTCTCGAACCGTGGGTCTGGGTATTGTGGTACAGAACTCGTTTGGTGTTCTCATGAATATTATTGTACCCCTATTGATCAGTCCAGATGCGGCCAATCTGAGAGGCAAGATCGGTTTCATTTTTGGAGTGACCTCTGGAATGAGTGTGTATTGGATCTGGGCTCGGGTCCCAGAGACGGCTGGAAGGCGATTTGAGGAACTGAATTGGCTGTTCGAGAAGGATATACCAGCGAGGAAATTTAAGGATTACGACGTTTTGATATAAGAGGGCATGGGTAGATTTGGAGTTCAAAAATGGCGTTGAGGTGCATTGCCCAGGAAGCATACTGTAGCGCTGTTGCTTGAGGAGTTGTATCCCTGTTGATTTGGTTCTACAGCCTTTTTTTCTCTTTTTTGAGAAACCATAGACACGTGCTTAACCACAGAATGATCAGCGTTCAAGCAACCGTAAGAATAGTTGAACTGAAGGTCTCTTGACTTATTTTGCCCTTGGTAACACATTCCACTTGGGGCGTGTGAAAAGGGAGTTTTCAATGTAACATATGAAAAGAATGGTGTCCAAGGGGATCCAGTAACCAATGAGTGCATAAGAAATCACAACGATAGGACTTTTGCAACTCACCTGCCAAATCATCTCAAGCATGGTTGGCGTTAAGAAGCACCATCATGTAGGTATACGAGACCAGCAATGGGCATTTCCACCAAGTGCCACGAGCTCTCGTTATTCATCATTTCCATGAGGAAGGGTGCGTGCAGTGAAGCCAGTCATTTGCAACATTCGGAAGATTTCTTGTGTATGCCTCATGACTGAGATATGCAGGAACTGGCATTCTTTGTGCTTGAGTTCACCGCTCCATGGTACCTCGAGATTTACCTCGAAGCAGATTCCAGAAGACGAAGAGAGAGAAAAGGCCAAGTTCCGTTCCCGTGTTCCCACATCAAACTGTGACCACAAACAAGTCCAACATAAACCGAGCTTCGATGACTTCATCGTCGGATTATATGTGACTGTCCTCCTTGCACAAACCGCAAAGTCATGGCAGCGCAGCGTTGACAGGAAGTGGCCTCGTGAGAGCCCTTGCAGCCACGCGAAAGTGTCAAATAGGGTGTCCCACTACGACGTGAAGAGAAAGAATAGACGGTGCAACTGGCGGTGATGGCGGAGAAGATTTGGTGGTTTGGTACGGCGTTGAACGAGGAAGGCTTTGACTCCTCTTCGTTGGTTTCTCAGAGCCGGACCACGCCACGAGCCGGACCACGCCACGAGCCGTGAGATGGTGTGAGAGGGCCTGATGTACCTACGTACCGGCTGGATACGCAGATATGCAGAAATATACGCCACTGGGACATCTACACCACGCTGGAAGGTTGTAATAAAAGTGACGGTGACAGTCTCTCTTTCCCGGCCAGTGTTTCTTTCGCGGGCAAAGTACAGTACTCCGTACAGTGCAGTCAGTACCTACTGAGTACTCCGTACAGTGAGTGTAGTGTACTGACACTGCAAAGAGGCTGAAGGTTGACCTTAACCCGTAACATCGCCCCGCTTGACGCTCCCCAAAGCCCCGTAAAAACCTAAACTGGGCCAAACAGACCATACGGAGTACATCCCGTCCAGGTGCTGCGCGCTGCACTGTGCTCAGAGTTCGTCGTCCGCATCGCATGATATTTCAGCAGAGTTCGTTCTCCATCCATTGCGGAAAGCTTGTCGGCCATTCTTGACAATGATACATTGACCGGAAAGGGAAGCTGTGATTTGAGAGTTTGCAGACACGGTAAACACCCGTTCAGCACCAGCTCCAGCACCAGCCGCATTGCATGGTGGTTGTCAGAGCTCCTGGACATTCGAGACGCCGGCTGTGCTTCTCCGAGGGACAGGAGACGAGCGACCCAACTCCTAAGGGCCTGTTTGGCAACTCCTAAGGGCCTGTTTGGCAACTCCCAAAGGCCTGTTTGGCTCAGTGAAAGGAGAGGCAACGCAGCCGAGAACACCACTCCAGTCCATCATCATCCACTTTGCGAACCACTCCAACCACTCCCACTCGCTCTGAGTTTTTCAACTCCCCAAGCATCCAAGACCTGGGCAGTCATCACGCCGAATTCCTGAGTCGCATTGCATCGCTCTTCTCTCCGTAAACCCAATCCCGCTGCTGCTGGAGATCCCTTCGTACCCTCCGTACCTCGAAGAGAATCGTCCAAAATCAATCATTCGAAACCATCGACGCAGCAGACACGGTGTGTAGAGTACGAGCACCCATTTTCATGGGCCGTTGCCTTGTGCAGCTACAGAACAGAACACGGCAGGGCAATTGCATTGCTGGTCGCGGGAAGCAAGATTGCATGAAATCGTGGGGAGTGCTTAATTGAGGACCGAGTAAATCTTCATTGGCGGCGGCTCAGGCTCCATAGAAAATCCATCTCCATTCACCTGCAGCCGACCCCGAACAGAACATCCGGCCAATGGCAGATCAAGATTCCACCGGGCAATCCACTACGACATCAGCCCACGGTTTGATCTCCAACTCGACTTCCAATCCTACATCAACATCACATCGTAGATTCAAAGAAAACGCTGTGGAAATGAGCCATCTCGAGGCATCGGGCGTGCCCAAGAGAACCGCTGCCACCGACTCCCAATCCCCGAGCGACCTCCTGAATGATGTAACAATTCCCATGGCCTCTCCCATGGACGCTTCATTTCTCACATCCGCCTCGACTACGAGTCCAGAAAATGCTTCAGCAGCGCCGTCAGACCAACAAAGCACCATGACGAACGCTGCCGACGCCCCGTCCGCCACAGTCCCAGGCTCCTTAAAAACCACCAATGCTCCTACCAAGACCGATGCCTCTCCTCTGGCCGCGACAAGTGATTCAGTAGCAATAGGACCTTCATCCGAAACGATGCCGGCTCCAGTGCCAACAACCAACGAGGCGGGGCCGGTCCTTGTCATCACATTACTTCTTACCTCGGGTGCTCGACATCCATACAAGATTGACGAGAAATACCTTACAAAGAGAAATGTGAATGTGCCAGGAGTGACGGAAAGCGGGAAGAAGGATCCATTTAGTATAAGTGTCTATACACTGAAGGAGTTGATATTGAGGGAGTGGAGAGAGGAATGGGAAACTCAGCCGAGTAGCCCGAGTAGCATACGCTTAATTTATTTTGGGCGATTATTGGACGATAAGACTGCTTTAAAAGGTATGCTTGAATGTTTTGTTTTCTGACGATGGGTATGACGATAGGATATCCCAACCAAGAAAAGGACGCTACTCTCTACGGGTCTTCCCGCAGTTGAGAGTGCCTTATCATCACCAGGGGTTTTATATTCGGTGCCCAGGAAGTAGTGTCTCAGTATCAGATACTAATTTTGGTCTCATAATAGAATGCAGATTCAACGCGGAAAATGCAAATGTTGTACATATGACAGTTCGACCACAAGATATCGTCGACGAAGAAGATGCTTCCAAAGGCAAAGGCTTAGGACGAGAAAGAGGAGATGGGGAAAGCACAGCCGGTTGCCGGTGTGTGATTCAATGAAGGGAAAAATACTTACTCAACCGATTTTGAAATCTGCATAGCTTGCTTTGCATCTGGCCTTTGCGATCCTTTGTTGTTTTTTCTTCGATATTTCTCCCATCATATTTTTGAGGAAGATATCTGGATCATGTGGAATAGGAGATCGATACATACAAATCATTACGACAGTACGAACTGGACCTTGTTGTTCTTTTCTTCAAAGTTGAGACAGAAAGAATAGGCGTTCCGGATTACAGTTATCTCTTTTGTTGCGTAACTCGTCCTTTTAATTTGAGGGTGGGTTGATTTTTTTCTTGGTATTCACGGCATCGTTGGGGGGTTTTTCTTTTGATGGGATTTGCTGGAGGTTTAGGGAAGAGGGAACGCCTGCTTTTAATGTGGTTACATAGGTGTGGAGAGAGAGGTGGTTTCCTACCTTGGTTGCGTTGGGTGTGATGGATAAGTGTATAGTTAGGAGGGATGGGTGGTTGTTATATATGGGACTGTAAATGATGTCCGTGGTTTTCCTTAATTGGTTTGAGAGATACTGGATAGAATATGGAGCATATTTCAACCAGCTTTTGAGTATCTGATATGATACCTGTGCGATTGCTGGTAATTGATAAGCAATGTCAAGTGACAGCATGCTGTAAGTCTTACATACTGGGGTAGATAAGGCTACGTGGGCCACCGTAGAAATCTTGTCATTACCTCAGCCTTGCACGCCTTGTCAACAACTCCTACAACACAAGCCAATGCCATGATCATCCAAATCCAGCGGCCCATTACCCAATTACCTCTCCTCTCTCGGACCCTTCGAAAATACACCACATCCGCTTCCTCCGCTCCACCAATTCTCCAAATCTCCAACGCAACCTTCTACCGTCATCACCCCTCCTCCACCCTCTCAACCCCCACCACCAACCCACCTCTCTTCCCAAACCTCACGCTCTCCATCCCATCCACGCCTACAGATCGATACTGGGCGATCGTCGGCAGATCATCGACTGGGAAAACGACGTTGTTGGAGACGATTGGAGGGAAGCATATTGCTATTCCGGCAACCGCGAAGAGCTATCCCTTTCTTGAAGCGATTGGGAAGACGCCGGAGAGTGCTATAAAAAGGGTGGGGTTTGATGGGGAACAAGATGTAATTAGAGGGGGAAGGGGGGCGTATTTGAGTGCGCGGTATGAGAGTCGACGAGAGGGTGGGGATTGGACGGTTGAAGCGTATTTGAGGGGGCAGACGGAGATGAATCCCTTTGAAGATTCGACCAAGAAAGTTGATGAGAAACTTCTCTTACTGGTGATTCTTGAGATGAAGTTGGAAGGCCTGCTAGACTTGAGTGTTACCGATCTTAGTAATGGGCAGAATCGACGGATGAGGATTGCTAAGGCGCTGTTGGAACAGCCTGAGGTTCTGTTACTAGATGAACCGTTTGCCGGACTAGATCCGGGGAGTGTGAAGGTGTTTGGAGAACTGTTTGGGGAGATGGCGAGGAGGCAGAACCCGAGGGTTGTGTTGGCGCTGAGGACGCAGGATGAGGTGCCCACGTGGGTTACGGATGTCATTTATTTGAAAGGGAATTGCGAGGTTGATCTTCCTTGGAGGGGTAGGAAGGTTCACCCAATGTACTTTGGAAACCCCTCTGAAAAGATAATGAAAGATTATCTTGCGCATAAGCAGGCAGTGAGTTCCGAGGGGATGGTTATTTCTAGGAAAGAAGGTCTCACGGTGGATCGATATCCCTTCGACACCACCAAACCCTCAATTGGCGAGGCACTGGTAGAAATGGACGGGGCCGTAATCTCATACGGCACCAGAACCGTCCTAGGAAACTGGTCCCACAAAATCAACGGCCAAAGACGCAAAGGACTCTACTGGACACTACGAAGGGGCGAAAGATGGGGGGTTTTTGGCCCAAATGGATCCGGAAAAACAACTTTAGTTTCACTAATCTGTTCCGATCATCCCAAAACCTATTCCCTACCCATCAAACTCTTCGGTCGTTCACGCAGTGCCTCGCCTGGAAACCCAGGATTATCCATCTTCGAGATCCAATCCAGGATCGGACATTCGAGTCCCGAGATCCATCACCATATCCCGAAATCACTTACCATTCGACAGGTACTGGAGAATGCATGGGCCGACACCCCCCGTGGGATTCCAAAGTTGGATGAGAATGCAGAGAAGAGGATCTATGCCTTCTTGCAGTGGTTCCGGCGTTTTCTCGCACCCCAAGGCCTTGGAAAAGACGTCCTCCATTCCCTCGTATGGGCCGACACGACCCTCTTCGGCGGCCTCTCCTTCGGCGCGCAGAAACTTGTCCTCTTCCTCCGCGCACTCATTAAAAGCCCCGATATCGTCATCCTGGACGAAGCATTCAGCAGCATGGACGACCATCTTCGGAACCGGTGTCTCGCCTTTCTTACGTGGGGGGAGAGGCAACAATGGATTTTTAAGAGGCCCTTGCGCCCTTCGGTTCGGGCACTGGAGGGCCAGGTCGTCTTCGAGGGGTTGACGGACAGGCAGGCGTTGGTGGTGATCAGCCATGTCAAGGAGGAGGTCCCGGAGTGTGTGAGGGAGTGGATTTGTCTTCCTGATGCGGAGACGGGGGGTGCGGCGAGGGTGGGGAGGTTCGATGGTCCGATTGAGGAGGATGGGAGGTGGGAGGAGATTTGGGGGATGAGGTTGCCATTTGGGGTAGATTCAATAGAAAGTAAATAAACACTTGGGATATGATGAAATCACTGTCACTGGCTTTATTTGGAATCTACCTGACAAAAAGGAAGTAGGTGCCTCGTCTCAAGGTATGAATCCTGATTTCTTGGGATTGTATTTGGATTAGGAGATGGTTAGGAGATGATTGCTAGGTTATTATTGTTTGAATAGTTTTTTCTTTTTAGTATATATATAAAGAAGAATAGAGGGTGTTCATAGATGGTTCTTTTGGAGGGAAAATAGAGGGGCGATGAAAAGGGAAAACAGGTAGAATTAATATGCGTACTGTACTTGTAGGATAAATTCTTCGATATCGGGAATAAAAACCTGGAGGGGGGTTATTAGAGAGTTAGATTAAAGGAATTTATTTATGTTACTGTAGTTAGGAGGCTAGGTTAGAGGAGGGGATTTAATAAAGCTCTTTCTTTCTTTCTTTCTTTTCTTTCTGGCTTTTCTTTGCTACCTACTATTAGTTCTACAGTCTACTCGCTCTACCTAGTACTATAATAAATAAAGTTACCGAACCCCTATCGTTCATCCGACCTCTCCTCGAACGTACCTCGGGAAAACCCCACTTTCAGTCAGACAAGGGTCCAGTCCAGTCCAGTCTAGCCCCACCCTACCTATATATAGGTATAGGTAGTTCTAGCTAAGCTAAGCTTCCATTCCAACATTTTACCTCCCTGGCATCCGGCCAAGCCAGATGATCGAGCGAACCTTCAACGGCTGATTGAGAGGCCATTATGGCGTCTTCATCTTCGTCTTCATCTTCATCCTCCCTCCACGTCGGCGCGCAAACGCAAAATATCACCGCTTCCCAAACGATGGAGAGATCCCCGCGTTCTAGTGAGACCTCGCGTTCTGTGCATACGCCTGATTCGGATGGGGAGTCGGGGGATGAGGATGGTTTGGAAGGGGAGGGGGTGGAGGGGAGTTTTGCTATGCTGGAGGTGAGGGGGG